GCTCACCAGACAGAGAGAGACAGAGAGACAGAAAGCAAGAAATCACCCCCCAGGGAGGATGGCCATGCCACAATCCCTTCTCCTTCATTCTCTTCTCGGGATCTTGGGCATGCACGCACACGCACCCGGCATGAGTTCTAAGCCACCGGGTCCGGGACGCAAACCGTGGTCTACTACGTGGGAGTCCAGCAACATAGCCATTACGCTAACTGCTGGTCCCTCTTTACCTTTTTATTAATGGATTTTTTTGGTAGAATTATTGTATTTAACTTTATTTATTTATTTATTTTTAATTTGACCAGAGAGGGACACACACAGAGAGAGAGAGAGAGAGGGAAAGTGAGAATGTAAGCCGCCAGGTCCAGGACTCGAATACCACATTCAGCCATGTGGGAGTCCAGCTCCCTTAATCACCATGCCACCTCCAGCCCCACTTCTCTTTATTTTTAAAGGCACGACAAATGCCATTATGTCAATGGAGTCACTGATCCCCAACGAGTTTTAAAAGGTGGCCTATTTGTAATGGCCTGAGCAGGTGCATCGCACCCACACACACACACACACACACACACACACATGCACACACACACACACGCACACACATGTAACAGCAGCAGCAGAGCAAGTCAATCAGGTCCTTTGTTCTTAAAAATAACGATCCCCAGAAAAATGGGGAAAACCAACAGCAGGAAAAATTAAGGCCAAGCTAAATAGGATAAATGAGAAGGGAATTAATTAAAGAAACAGAAAAGAAGTTAGAAAAAATATGATTGGTTTTTTTATAAAAAGTCAAGGAGAGGGACCAGCAGTTAGCATAATGGTTATGTTGCTGGACTCCCACATAGTCGACCACGGTTTGTGTCCCGGACCTGGTGGCTTGAAACTCATGCCGGGCGCGTGTGCGTGCGTGCCCAAGATCCCGAGAGGAGAATGGAGGAGAAGGGATTGTGGCGTGGCCATCCCCCCTGGGGGGTGATTTCTCGCTTTCTGTCTCTCCGTCTCTCTCTGTCTGGCGAGTGCACGTGCCCTATAGTGAAAACCTCTCAAAAAAAATTTAAAAAGTCAAGGAGATCTTGTACCCATAAATAAGAACTTGGTGTTAATGTGATAAGAACACTCAGAGAAAGACAGAGTTATTAGAAATGTCTAAATGACTGCAAGAATCAAGTTTTATAAAAAGAATGGAAGAGAAAATGTAAGAAATATCGAGAACATATGTCTAAAAGACAAAATTATAAAGAATAATATTTAAAAGGAGAAGCAATATCAATCTAAAAGGTTTGACTGTTGAGAATTCCAGGAAGAGAGAATAGCAGAAATGATGAGTGGAAACTTTTTAAAGAAATAAGAAAAGAAAAAAATTCAGAGCTGCAGAAAGATACAAGTCATGGGTTTGAAAGTGCTCAGGCGCAGAACAATATGAATGGGGGAGAAGGGTCACACTTAGATATACCCTCATGAAACTTGAGGACGCCACGAATAGAGAAAAGATCCTTGACAGTTATAGAGGGGGAAACAAAGCTAAACCCACAAGAACTGAGGATCCGTGAAACATCAGATTTCTTACCGATGTCCCTGAAAACTAGAAGATGATAATTAGGAAATTCTTTCAAAGATTTAGAGGACATTGTTTTCACGTTATAATTCTGTATCCAGAGAATAAAGCAAAATGAGGATATGATCAGATAGGCAAGAATTCAGGAAGATTCCATACACTCTTTAACAAAGCGCGATAAAAAAAAATTCAGAAAGAGTGATGTAAGGATATACTCAAGCAGAGCAAAGAAGGAAAACAAGAAACAGATTTGGGATCGGGAATCAATAGACCCCGCCCAGATGGAACCCGACTCAGTGGGCTAAAGGGAAGTCTCAGAATACAGTTGAGTCTACACTGGAACATTCTGTGACCAAGGATGGACAGCACTCAGAGTGTGGCTGAATTTGATCTGATAATGAAGATACATTATTGCAAACAAGAAAACATAAAAGCAGTTAGTAAATTCCAGCAAAAAAATAAAAAGTTAGGCCAGATAGGTCTGATTCATACATGAAAGAACTGAGATACTGAGATATGGCACGACTTTAATGAGAATGGAGTTCCTGATAGGCCTTGATGGTCAGCGTATTCTCCCTATAGTGGATCTGGGTTATGGCCTGGGACACAGAGAAGGAAGTGAAATCCTAGCACACAGCTTGGTCCTTCAGTGAGCAATAACCACAAGACGTAAATGCTCTTTACTGGTTACTAACTTCTAAAATCCACATCTAGACAGAGTAAACAAGACTAAATTACAGTTATAAAACCGAACGTGCAAGCCAATTTATCTGTTAGCAACAGAAAAGGACAGCTAAAGCTGATAGATTTTGGAGAGGGGAGAAGAAACTAGAAAAGGCAGGGACACGGAAATCCATCTCTTCCCCGCTGCTTTAACTTTTAGCCACAGGAGAATGTGTGGGCTGATGGGTTGAAAAGAGAGGGGCGCCCATGTGTGAAAGACAGAAGGTTCTGAGAAATGAGGACAATTATGAAGAGGTAAACCCTCACTTTCAGACTGCCCAGACCAAAGAGCAGGTTAATGTGGCTGGATCCCACATATCCAACTGCATGGTTCTAGTCCTGGACCTGACAACTTGAGAAACGCACCAGGCATACGTGTGTAAATGCCCAAAATCCTGAGAGGAGAATGGAAGAGAAGGGATTGTGGTGTGGTCATCCCCTCTAGGGAGTGATCTCTCACTTTCCCTCTCTCTCTCTGTCTTTATCTCCAATGAGCACACATGCCCTATAGCTATAGATATAGATATAGATATAGATATAGTTTAAAATTGGCAAACAACGGAAATGGCTAGAACTAGTTGAGTGTATGATGAGTGGTGAGTGATGGCAGTTTTCGTCCCATCAAATGAGCGATGATTTTATTGTTATGTTTGGCCTGAACGCCTCCTCCTTTGAGCTTCTATGTGGAAAGCAAGAACTGGCTTCTTGAGTCTGTCATCTATTGGCTTGATAGGAGCCCACATTGGCCTTCAGCATACACTTCACAGATGAGGGTGGGTGGGTAGTCAGAGCATCAGTGAGTCGCATGTTTTATCACTTAAAGACAGTGTTTTTCGGAACTTCTTTTCCTCCGAGGGAACTCATTGCTGCAGACGTTAAGTCAGATGCAAGCGAAGTCCATTTGTCTCTCTTCTTTTCCTCTCTTTCATCACAGCGTGTGTTCGTGTGGGACTTGGATGAGACAATAATTATTTTTCACTCCTTACTCACGGGGACTTTCGCATCCAGATACGGGAAGGTAAGAAGCCATTTTTGTCTCTTTTTTGTTTTCCAACACGACTGTCTGTTCAGCTGGTTTGTCCTGGGAATTGTGGGGGCAGGTTATGAGACGCCTTCTCCAACAAAAGCTACCCCTTTGGGTCAGCCCAGATTGGAAGACACTGATGGAATTTTCCTTCGACATGTGAAAAATTAATTAGCTCCCCCTCCTATTGTTTCTCATGTCTATTCTTCCAACCCATGAAGCAATCAGCATCTACTTGATAGGGGATGGGCACGTGGTCTGTAGCTGTCTCCTTCCTAAGAGAGCTGCGCTACGCCGTAGCCAAAAACAGTGATCCTAACTAGGAAGCGAGGTAAAGTACTTTCCTTCTTCCCTGTTGTTTATCTTAGTGTTTCCAGCAGATGAATTGAAGTTTCTTTCCATTTCTTTGCGATGAGGGGGAGGCACTGTCAGCTCTGGTGTGATTCTTAGCAACAGCTTTGCAAACGTATCAAATTATGCTGGGGAACTGACTAGTTAGAATTCTGGGCAAATGCCAGTGGCTGATTGGTGGCAAATAGAAGAGACATTGAAACCCCCTTTATAATACTGAACCCACTGCTGACACCCAGACCTTGGCAATCCTTTGTACTCATCCCATGGGCTTCTCAGCGGACGGGAAGTGGATGCCCCAAACATCTTCCATCCCTCCAGGGGAACCCATGGGAGTGGAGGGACAGTGATTGAGAGGACAGACTAGTTACCATCGCGCCAGAGGTGAGTGACCTGCTGGCAGCTGCTTTCATGCATGGGTAGGAACCTCGAGCCTCGTCAGCGCCTGGAAAATATTTCTGTTTCTGTTTAGAGACCAGGAATATGATTTGACATCACCTCATGGCTTTTCCAGCTGCTCCTGTTTTTTATGGGGGTTATAACAAGCTGGATGTGTAATTAGTAAGATAGATTTATCGTCTGCCATTAGGTTGTAAAGAATATAAAAATGGTGTTGGTGGTGCAGAAATCTCTTGGCGTGTAGG